TACACCGCTGTTAATAAGCCGTTCAATTTAATGAAGTATTTGCACATGCTCATTATGTGCCACTCTGCACACTACGCTTTTTCAAGTTACACTTTCGTGTAACATTCTGCTGTATAACTACAAAGAAGAGGGATACCCTGGCGTTTGGGCAATCGCCAATCAACTCAGAGTCCAAATCCAAGTGTAATCAAGCTGGAAAATATTTACAAAACCGGGTCTGTTGTTCCAAACAGGTACAAGCGCCACGATCTGATGTATCATTTAAAAATAGAGTTGATACACTTCATCACAATTTTCTATTTCGGCGGCAAAAAAATATTTTAGTTCATAAATTTAGAATGGTGTCACAATTTCCTTTAGACCCTATGCACCTATTTGATTTAGGCGTTACCAAAAAATTACTAAATTTGCTAATAAAAAAAGGAAACGTAATTAAAATGAATAAAAAATTAGATTATCTGTCAAATTTAGTTCCATCGGAATTTGGCCGAGTCTGTCGAAATTTTGATACAATTAGCATTTGGAAGTCGACAGAATTTAGGCAGTTTTTTGATATTTTTTTTGAAGCTTGCCAACATTTTAAAATCATATAAAATTGAGAGTAAGAAAAGGAATTGTTCAAAGTTGTTGTTGTTTGAGATTGAAAATGAGATTGAATGTGTGAGTTTGTGTGTAAAATTTTAAAATTAAATTGCATGCAAACGTCAAGAATTTGAAAAATTCCTCTCAGCGGTTCTACCTTCCTATTTTTTTATCATGCTTGAAGCTATGAATTTGTATTAGTCCATGTCGCCTTTTGAATCACATTGAGTTGCGAATCGCAATGCAGAGTAGACCCCCTGAGTAAAAGATCGACCTTTCTCCGCAGCCAGCTCTAAAATGCCCTATCTCAGAATTGGATTGAAGAACGCCCTATCTCGGAATTCGGTTCAAACACGCCCTATCTCAAATGAAAATGTGTTGCGTTCTTCAATCAAATTTGGAGACAAAATTGAAAACCATTAAACCGCCAAAAGAAAAATAGTCAATACTTATAAAATTTATTACATTCATCTGTCTGGCACTAGATATTTAATTTGTCATCATTTGTTTGTACTTAACAGATTCAACTGCTAGTTTGGCGCAAATTTTGGAAAACCAAAAAACTATAATTACTAACCAACAAAAGTTTGATGAGCGCCTTCAAAATTTTGAGAAGGCACGTGACAAAACTGTAAGACTATTGATTAATTTATACCGTAGTAATGTCCTAAATACATAAATGTATTTCAGACAATCGATAATACAACGCTAATGCCACAAAACCAGACCATTCGCCACGATCCAGAAAATAAAGGTCGCGCCATTCGTGGACACCCAATTGCTGACGTCATAAAATACTTTTGTTTACATTCACTGTTGCCAACTTGATGCTTTTCGCACCAAATTTAGTGGGTATTCAAAAAGCGAAAATTTTTGAGTTTTGTGCTTGGTGCGTTTTTGGTGCTTTTGTTTTTAGTTTGAAGACATCAAATTAGAAAATCTTAAAAAAATGGAAGCAAAATTTATAGCAATCGTAAGTGTGGTAAGCAATTTTACAAAAATTTAAACAAAATCATGGCAGACTGACAATCATAAGCGACAACGAAATATGTGCAGCACCTTCAATCATGCCGGAAGAAATCGACCGTTGTGCAAGAAACATTGATTTTTATTAATTTGAATCGGCATCCTTACAATAAAATTATGTATTCATATAAAGTCCATAAAATACACCAATAAAAATTTGGTGCCTTTTCAAATTCAAAACTTGGCAACACTGCCTTTTTGTTATGCTTCCTCTTTTTCTTGTCGAGTTCGTCTTGCTCTCTCATTCTGGTATATTTTGACGTCACGGCCAGTTGCTCTCAGCTCGATTGTCGCAATCTTGTATTCTACCATTCTTGACCATTCGCGAATGTCAAGTGCTGGTAAGCAAAGTGCTACGTTCGGTCGGTCGTCTAACAGACGAACTTGAAGACGAGATGCAAATAGAGATCGCTGCAACGTTGCCCTTGGCAATTGACGCAGCTAAAGATATCGAAGAAAAGCTGGAAAAACAGGAATACTTCGAATCAATGGTGACCGAGTTTATATTACATGCAAGAATCATTTTACTTTCAATTTAAATACTTTTACAGAAAATCTACTTGTTCCAAATGAAAGGAAGCAACGGAACGGTGGATGACGTTTTCCGAAGGGTCATGACCGAGGAACTAGCCTTTTTATTCAATTTTGATGGAAGGAGAAGAACGCGTTAACAAAATTGAAACTAATTAACCAAGTTTTAAGCGGTAATAGATGTTTAATTGGTATCTAGTGTATGTACTACTATTTACTTGTAAATTTTATTTTCAGAGGTTTTCGCAACTGAAGGTTGAAAAGGCGTCAAGGAAAAGCATTGAGTTGAGTCACAATCGCTTTCACCAAAAGACATTTTTAATAAAAAATAAAAATGTTGCATAAATGTGTAGAAAAAAATGTAAATATTAGTGTAAGAAAATTAACCTGCATACACCAGTTTGGGCAATTTTGTTTGTTTGTTTAAAGTTATATATATATATATATACATGTATGTTTTGAAAAAGCAGTCCATTATCTAATGAACTTGTGATCAGCTAATTAAGTCAGCAATGTTTTGATAAATTTTGGCTATTCTTCTTTCGTTTATTTAATGTTTATTATTTTTTCATAAAAATCTAGCAAATTATAAAACAAACCCATATAAATCCACATTTCAAACTTTGTTTAAAAATTATAAAAAAAAACCTGCAAAGTTGCATCTAAGTATTTAACTTTTAATAAGATTTTTCTGAATTTTTTTGTGTACATGGTGTAAATTTTAAGCTGGTAATTTTTTTTCAGACCGTATTATATATTTTTTCCATACAAAACAATTTGTCCAATATATGTACTTGTATCGAAGAAAATGCGTTAAAAGATTTCCAAAAATCAACGCTGATTTTTAACAACTTCAAACTTGCACTTTATTTTCCTATAATTTATTGGACTATAAAATTGCATACTTAAAATGTTGAAAATTTAGATTAAACTTTGCCGGTTTTTATAATTTTTGCACAAAATTTGTAATGTGGATTTATATGGTATTTGTTATATAATGAGCTAGACTTATGAAAAAAGAATAACCATTAAACAAAATAAAGATAGCCAAAATTGATCAAAACGTTGCTGGCTTAATTAACTGATCATAAATGTACATGATATTATTTTAATACTATTCAAATTCATATTTAAAATATAAAAGTCTTTACTTATCATTAATTATATTTACACACATGTAACATATATATATTAACATACATATGTATATGCAGATATATGTACATATTATTTAATATGTATATAGTTGTTTCTACATATATACATAATATAATATATAATATATACATACCCTGTTTACTAAATTAATGATATGTATGTACATTGTACACTTTCTACATCTAAAATAATGAATTAATATTAGTACTATATACAAATAGTATATGCATATACACTGCCGGTCACTTGATTAGGGCCACCGTTTGATCCTCAGTATTACAGTATTCCTTTTGTTTACTTACAGCTAATATAATATACATATATGTATAATATAATCTTATAATATATACATAATAATAAAATAATAATAGATTGGCGCTTACACATATGTACCCAGCAAAAAATCGGTAATCGCTTTTAGTGGTAACGTGTTCTAGAAGGCATAGCGTTGTAATGCCTTAGAATTTTTTCGCTTCTTTTAGGCATTGCCGGTAATGCAAAGTAGAATGTCCTACAATATTTTATTTATTTCACTTCTTTGTTTCATTTCGGGGAATGCAAAGTAGAATGTCCTATAATATTTATTTTTTAATTCGCTTCTTTGCTTCATTTCCGGGAATGCAAAGTAGAATGTCCTACAATATTATATTTGTTTCGCTTTTTTGCTTCATTTCAGGGAA